CCGATCTCGTCCGGCTTATGAACATTGATATGGACAGGGCGTAAAATCTACATGTGCTCTCGGCGTGATCTTGGGGCTAGAGTCGCCCTTTTTGTACAGTCCTTACAATAGGTCGGCATATTAGCTCTTGGTCATACAAACATATGGGGGTCTCACATATAGCTTATAGCTTATTCTTTCGCCAACAGTCGATGGAAACAAAGGAGTGTCATCGATGCGAAGATTGGGCTGCTGATAGTTTATGACAAGCTAATTTATTACAATTCGATTGTCAGTAATTATCTGTCATGATTTCGGGATTACGTCTAATTTTTCCATATCATTACAGTAGACAAACGTAATCTCCCAATAATTTGCCTCTCATCTATCCCATTAGGCTACTCGTCACACTGGATTAAAGATAACACAAGTAATGACGGTTGCGGTTTGTACAATATTACAGTTTTATGGAACGACGACTTCCATCCTGACCTTGCTACCACCTTCACAATAACTCGTCTACGTGTAGCTACAAATACTAAGCAAATTATGTAGCATTTGAAATACCAAATCACCCAGCCGTTTAACAACATTTGCCCTTAAACCGATGGCGCCAAATTGGCATATATAGGGGCAATGAAGCAGACGCTACAGGGTAGTAACTATTATATGGGCATGTATACTGTAACGACCTTGGAAGAGAAGATCATTCCCCACCCATTCTTTCATACATAGAGTTCCCTCAATGTCTGCCCCTGGTGCTGAACACTATCCACGCACAGACACACATGCCTGTCCTTGGTGCTGAACATGCCTGCCCCTGGTGCTGAACACTATCCACGCACAGACACACATGCCTGTCCCTGGTGCTGAACATGCCTGTCCTTGGTGCTGAACACTATCCACGCACAGACACACATGCCTGTCCCTGGTGCTGAACATGCCTGTCCTTGGTGCTGAACACTATCACTAAATTATGTGATGGACATATGCATTAGCTTAAGATAAATGTACAGATAGTAGCAGGTTTGTCATTTCCTGTCATATACGTGATATCCTGAATCCTTACTTATCCTATTCCCGTTAGTTACAACCCTTGTAAGTCTGATAGCTCGTCATTCATTCAGTTTGATTCCCCTCGAGTGAGACCTGTTGCCCCGGCCTGTCGTGCAACAGTGATGCCACCATGCCGCACGTGGGTGGGACTCGCCTTCTTCCTTTCTTGTACGCGGTTCGAGTAATTGATCCGGAAAGACAGAGCTATTAAACAGCATCAAACTGACGTCTGAATGTCATGTTATATAGAGACTTGCAGCCAATGCTCTGTTCATATTACCAAAGGTATATGTCAGTGGTGCCGCCTAGTCGCACTAGGATGTATACATTTTGTCCGTACCGCTACTGACGTCACAACGAACCCCTCCATGCACCCCCTCCTCCGCACGCTTTTACATGGCGGTTCATACAAAGCTGACGATGATTTGCTGTGTGTATCTTCTTTCTTCTCTCCATCCGTTTTTGTTGTTAAAAGAAAGTGCAATTATGATTCATCACATCATGACGTCTCAGATGCTTTGGACGCCTTATTAGCAATATTAGTACTTTTGATCACACATTACAACAGGCATGATGAAATACTGCTTAATTACTTGAACTATTAAAGTGATTAGGCGTGCGGAGACAGCTGTCACATAGCCTTAGAAGTACCCATTTGAATAATGTAGCTTCTTCTTTGAATAATGAAGGCTTTAATACATCAAAACGTTCTAGGGCTTAAAACCTAGCAAGTAATCAGAACCCGGTATGTTACCTATCAGCGCGTAGTTGAAGAAACAACAAAGCCCAGTGGGGTCCGTAATGGAGGCTATATCTTCCGTGGCATCCTCAATCAATCTACAAACATTTCAGAGTGCAGGACCCGTTTCTTTACAACTAGACTCTAATCATGCGTATCCGGCACTTTTTATCACTACGATCTGTGCACACATGCATTACGCACCTACGTTATCATGTACGTCAGAAGTAGTAACTGACAGGCTATTAGGCACACGCGAGTGAAATATCGGAGCTCTAAAAGCTCGGCCTAATTTCTCAAGAGAGCGGTGTTCACTGCAGTGTAGTAACACTGAAATACTGTGAAGTGTGGCAATGAAAGTTGTCTAATCGCAGGGAACGTACACACGGCAAACATCTCGACGCTTTTTTGTGCGTCAACAATCACAATTTACCTGGTTATATATCCATATCGTTTCACACAACTTTTATATTGCGCCAACAAACTCAGGTACCTGTTGCGGTTACGAGCAGATTCGTGGGAAGCCAAAACAAATCACCAGGATATGTTAACTTCTTTAAAACGGAATAATGAGTAACTTGTGGTTTGATGGCGCCAGTTCGAGCCGCTTCTCCCATCTGTTTGTCTGGAGCCATGTCTTATCTTTACAAGCAGCAGAGGCGGTTTCAAGGCTGTTCCGATCCCTCCACCACCTGTGAGGTGACTTGTGCATACGGGAACGTGGAGGGGAAATCGTGTTGGAGTATCGTTAGTGAAGTGTCAACTGACAAGGAAAACTACACGGCTATTTCTTGTGTTTGTGTGTGTGTGTGTGTTTGTGCACGTGCTTGCGTGCGTGTATATGTGTAATACTGTGTGTGTGTGTGTGTGTGTGTGTGTGTGTGTGTGTGTGTGTGTGTGTGTGTGTGTGTGTGTGTGTGTGTGCGCGTGTGTGTGTGTGTGTGTGCGTGTGTGCGTGCGTGTGTGTGTGTGTGCGCGCGCGCGCGCCAATTTAGGCTTCCTGTCGCCTTCCCTTGTTCCATACTGCATCTATCCCAGCGCAGTGTCTCTTATATAATGGACTAGCCAATATCATAAATTACTTCACGTCCACACGACGTGAGACAGTTATCTCATCATCCCTCTGGCAACTCTGTGTAGAACCAAGGATCCCGAGTTGAACAGGCAAGACCCTAAATGACAGTTAGTGCAGTATGCAGTAAGACTTATCACAGCCTCTATAGTTCTGTGTAACCTAGGTGCCATTCTGCTTACTTACCTTCCGCTTTGGCAGCGACTTTTGAAGCAACTATTGAAGCGGACGTTAATCAAACAGAATGGTGCCCATGGTAAACCCTGGCCAGCTGGGATAAACTGTCCTCTGCTATTTGTAAAGCTCACTAGTATATTGTATATTGCCTCAACTGCGTACCACAGATCCGGCTCAGTGGAGCCTGCCCTTCATACACACACACAGACGCACACACACCGTAGCACACGCACACGTACACACGCATGCGGGCGCGGCGCACACCGGAAGCATGGTACTAGTTATTATCATGCTCAAGCGCTGAAATCAGTGAATTTGCATTCACAGCGCCTTCTAGCGGCCAGATTTCTCACCCGAGCTTCCCCCTCTACATATTATGTCTGAAAACACAAATGCCCCTTGTATTGCTGCAGTTGAAAGCACATCCCTACATACACACGACGAAAGTTCACGGCTTATGTACGATCATGATCGTGCCGTGTTCAGCCGCCTGACCTTTCCAGTTCACCTGGTGGCTTGTAACTAAATCTTGCCCACTTTGTCGGGAAAACGTGTTCACAGCTTCATGAAACGGGCTGGAGCGCGTGACCATCCATGTCTTGAACTTAAATAATTGTTTTGGGGTGAAGTTTTGCTTTGCTAACGTTGTTTATTTTGTGTCGCTTAAGTCTAATTAATTTCGCATTACCTCGAGGCATTGTTCATTTGATTTTTCGGACCGATATGAAAACATTAAGTTTTAACGTGCCCTTCGCCCCACACTCCAGACAAATTTTGGAGTAGGTTTGACGATGGCAGTATTTGTGGTAGATAATCCCTCAAGTTTTTAATGCTTTGATGTTGTCACGTGACGATTTCACCTAGGCATAGTTTTGACAAAACACCTTTTAGTGGCACACTCTAAAAGTAGTCGAGGACTGCGAAGTGCGTCCCACTAGTGCCCGGGGACTGTGTTCGTGTTACTCTTCAGCAACCATCCGGAACAACACTTGTGAACTCTTGGCCCCGGAATGAGCCAACTTTAGCCTTGCCCATCTAAAAGTGTCCTCAAGTGCACCGTCGGTTGCGTCAGGAAAATCGACACAATGTTCGTGTTCGGTGTCAGGATCAGAAGTGCTGCTAGATAGAGCACTCACCTGCGGAATTACACACTCTTGAGATTAAAAAGTACTATTTGTACGACCGATTTTACCCTGGTGTTTTTGTTTGAAAACACCGTGAATGTGTGCAGCCCACCCTTGGCTGCAGGTGTGCGGCTTCCCGTGAGCCAGCCAGTGTAAACACTGGGGCTGAGCTTACGCGCAAGCATTGTCCCATCTACTCCACATGCCCGGCTCGGCTATGGTTGTTAACGTTGGCCTTCTGAAGTCAACCAGGTGTGGCGCCTGAACCACTGTTAGACACCGGTACAACACGCGATGGTGTCAGGGCCTCTATTCAACGTCAAGAAAGGCTTTTCTTATTGCGTGCAGGCCGCATCGGGCAGATTGTTGTGGAGACACGCCCTGCACACATACAACACCGCCTCTCGTTACAAAAACCTCCCGATAATCCTGTTGCCTTACGAATAAAGCACCGGGGAACTGAGGCTCACTGACAACTATGGCACGTAATATGGCTTCGAGTACTTTCTTATTAATCAGATCGGTAACCACGGAGTTAGGTGGTTAAAGTCCACTTAATCACTGCAAGTGCTACAGTTAATAAGTTTGCTTAATATTCCGAGGGCTTGTGACAACTAGCAACCGACCACTGCGACGGAATTTGAACGGGACGTTGTACGCCTGCATTGGAACACTAAAGTGCGATGATGGAAAGGATAAGGGGCAGAAACAAAGGCACTGTTTGTTCAGCGCAAGACGAATCGGTTGTCGGCAAGCAGCTAATGTGTGTTTTGCCCTCTGAAGTGAATTGGACCGGCGGTAAGCCTGCGCGCAGTACGTAGGTGAGTTACAGTAGATCGAACTGTGTCTTAGCAACCGCCGCGGACAGATCAATTCTCACCACTGAAGGGTCGACACCTGCGACAAAATGAAGATTTTCGTGGCTTTCGGGGGGCACAGATTATCCGTCAGGATCAAACCAGGACTGACAAAGGCCAAGGCCATCAAGGACATGATAAGGTACAAGTTTGACGTGTCGGCGACGGAGCAGGTTGTCATCTTGTCTTTCGCCGGGTCATCGCTGCAGGACGAGTGGGTTCTGACAGACATCGGTGTCAGCCAGGCCTCGACTCTCAAGTGTACAGTCAAGGACGTGGACAGACCGATCCTGTTCATCCACTCCGTCTACAACGGACAGACTATCGTCATCCTGGACGACGAGAATGTCAAACTTACGGGACAACGGTCGGGGAACTGCGGGGCCTCGTTTCCAAAAAATGCGGTCTACCTGTCACCACTTTCCGGCTGACGAAAGACGGGGTCGGTATGTATGACTGCAACACTTTAGATCAATACAATGTAGAGATCGGAACTACGTTAAGACTGGAGACGTGGAATGGGTGGAATGACTTTCTAAAGGCCGCGGCGGACGGGAATCAGTCGCTAGTTAGTCTCTACACGTCGTCGAGACCCAGCGTTGCTAGGTTCCAAAACCGCGTCGCCATGTTTATTGCAGCGCACTTCGGACACAGCTCGCTGGCAAAACAGTTGATCCGCACCGGGACGCGCCCGGACGACCCGGTCGGAGAACACCCCGCGCGGCAGTGGTGCCACACGCTGTCCCACGTCGAAAGGCTGAAGACGCCTGTGCACGAGGCTGCAGAATTCGGACAGCTGACGGTCCTGCGGGTCTTCCTGTTCTACGACTTCTCCTGCGTGACGCAGCCAGACGGCCACGGGCTCCTCCCGCTGTCCTACTCCCTCAGGAACAAGCACAAGGAGTGCGCGCTGTTCCTGCTCAACAAGATCAGCGTGATTCTGAACTGCCACGGCTCGGGCATGGTCTGTTCCATGAACATCTACAGGAAAATGCGGCGATGGGCGAACCGAGCGAGGACTCGCGTGTGTCTGTTGAACGGCATCGGGGGTGCCCTGTACCAGCGGAACCAGGACGTGTTCAAGGAGAGGGGACTCGTGGGACAGGGCGTTATCGTGGACGGGTTCGGCAGAAGCGAGAGGAGCGCCGTGCCGAGGTCCAAGATGCCGCGCACTCCTGCCGACACGTTCAGGATCGGGATGACTAACGTGAAAAACATCCTTGTCATCACACCAACCAATGGGAAGAGGCCCCGACAGGAGGGAGGTCGCTGGAAGAGGACAGCGACCTCGAGGGCCGGCCCAGGCGCATCTAAAGATCTCGGACTATCTGTAACCCCGCATAAAGAGAGGTCGTCTCTACACTTACCGAGTATGAAAAGCGGAAAGTGGAGCGCGTCTGTCAGAGGCAGCTTCAGCTCACAGAAGAGCGTTGAAGGTACGGAAGTCGCCGGAGAAACTAAATCCTTCGGAAGAAAATCTCCGGCCAGACTGGCGCTCCCATCACTTGACGTGACCCAGACAAACCAACGACTGACCACCGGCCAGTCGAAGGGCCCCCTCACGCCAAGGAGCAAAGCTTCGCGAGGAAATCATGCTAAAAATGGCGGGGACCTTGTTTTTGGGAGGCCCGAGGGCAGCCATCCGGTAGTCAAGTCGCGGGTATCGGGACAACCCCCTGAAGATTCTCCCGACAAGAGAAAGACCAAACAGGCCAGCGTCATCCACCAGCTGCCGCCCATAGCCTGCCACACCAACACAGAGCTGTCCAAGGCCTTCCGTAACGCCTTCAGGACGATCGATTCACACGAAGACGCCAAGGGCTGTTTCCAGGTCGCCGCCTCCTTTAAGGAAATGCCCTTCCTCAAACAGATGAAATTAGCCGCCCGCCTGACCAAACAGAGCGTCAAGAATCAAAACTCAATATTGCAGAAGGGCGAGGTCAGGTAGCAGTCGAGCTCAATCTTTGCCAGTTAGGGACGCAACGTCAGTTAATGACTTAAGAAATGACTTAATAAGAAATCCGTAACGTGACGATAAATGCTGTCGTCGAGAAAACCCCATAGATTTGGACACGAAAAGGTGTGCTTGATTGAAAGGACATGTGCCATGATGACAAGTTGATCCACTTGATCTTGCCCTATGATGTGTGTTGTTGCACCTTGTTCTAAATACATATGTATGTAGACAAACTGGTACATACATATCCGCCGAGGTTTGCCATCAATCTAATATTGAAATATAGTATTTTAGCCCTTAAAGCAAGACAAGTATATGATATTAGTCACAAATGGTATATATACAGAGAGAGATATGTTTTATATTTTCCTAAATCTTCCATCGATGCTGATTTATGCTTTGAAGTGCCGATTAAATGCCTGAATTAACTTTTTGGATTGTTATCACCTTCTTTGTGTTTGTCTCTCATTATGTTAGGCGTTAAGGGTAGGACAGTCAAAATACACAATTCAACCTTGTAACAAACAACATGGTCTGTTTTCACATACCAGACACTCTCTCAGTCTATTATATTGGTAAAACCAAGGAGGTCCCACATGTAACGTTATATAAGCTCGTCGGTAAAGCACTTTGGCATTTAACCAAGCCTCGTAGCGATCATTTGTAGAGAACCAGCCTATTTCGGCATATGGTACATGTTTCAAATCATATATTGCTTCATGCATTTCTGGTGGTTTGATTAGGTCACTGGCCATGCATGGCACCCAACTCGCGTAGTCTGTATTACCTATCCAAGCAGACAGAGGGCGCCCCTGCTTAGTGGCCCATGCATGGACCAGAGGACATATCGGTACTATCTCTGGGCGGCCAAATTCCCCTTGCGATTCTCTGAATTATCTGATTCTCCTTATATACTAAAATTTATGTGCTACGTGTTATCAAAAATCACAAGGGGAATTTGCCCACCCAGATGGTACCAATCATGTGTATCTTATCATGGTCAAAACCAAACTGGCTGTGTCATCTTCCCTATGTCACCTACACAGTGGTTTCGTCCAATGACCTCTAACCCAAACGATGTTGAAATCAACAAGCTTAGGCAGAGACTTTAGGTTAGTTGCCAAGTCTGATTTCTGTCCACGAAATCTCTTTAATTCTGTGACGCAGACAGTTCCCCCGGCGCTGTGCAGGACCTGGGGGCTGTAGACAGTGTATGGAAAACGCGATTCCGCTGGTACCGGCCGCGGCAATGCACAGAATGACGAGTTCGAGTGAGCGGCGGTACCTCGCCGATGATGACGCCATGGACGACATAGAACTGTACGACTTCCGCCGCCGGCGAAGCAGAGGCACCGTCGTCTGGTCCAAGTGTCGTCTGGTCTGCGTCGGCATCGTCGTTCTGTTCTTCGGGGTCATTCTAGGTGCCGTCCTTGGGTACTACGAATTCAGGGACAGCGTGGCGCGAGGACAACGGCCATGGGCTAGAGAGGGGGACACAAGCATCACCCAGAGAATGATAGACGAAGTGAAGCCTGCTGAGATTGATAAACACTTAAGGTGCGTGAGCTGTCTTGCCACACTGTAATGATTTACGTAATCTGACTCAATAACTAGGTATATGTCTGCTAACCTACAAATAAACTGTAGACAGTAGGGCCCTGTTCCTAGTACAGGCCTGTAACGTTACCTGTAAAATTATTTAGGTACACACCTGACCTGAACACCTGGTGTACTGCTACCTATTGTTCTACACCGCCTATTGTTCAACACTTTTGGCTCTGCACACTTATCGTATTAAGAATGACATACATATGATCTAAATAGCCATGACTCTCCTTTATTATATAAAGCAGTGAAATATGAACTGAAAAGATAGACTGGTTTGCATCCAGCTACTAAATATACTCCTGGGGCCGTAACAACAAATTACCCAGAAATGTCATGCATGACATATTTCATGTAATTTGAAACCACATATTTCATCAGTTGTTTCTACTAGTAACTCATGTGATATCAGCTACGTTTAAAAGATACTAGCTATGATAGCTGATATCAAACCTCAATTGAATATTCGTTAATTTGAAGAACTCTTATTAGTTTTAGGAAGATTTAATATCCAATAACTACAAAATGCCTAAAGGTGGTTTACCAGTGAAGCGGAACAAACAAACAAACCTGTTGAACCCCCCACCCCCACAATAAGATAAGTCAGAAAGACTATTGATCCAAAATGTGACATTAATATAATAACCTTCTTCTTCAGGTTTCTGACCATCAGGCCCCATCTCGCAGGCAGCGCCCGTGATGAGAAGGTCCTGGTAGACTACATCCACGACAAGTGGCAGGACTACGGTCTGGATGTGGTGAAGAAAGTTCCCTACAGGGTCCTGATGTCGTACCCTGACAACACCACGGACAGTTACGTGTCCATCCTCACGCACGCTGGAGAAGAAGTGGAGAAGTCGTCCCCACGTGAGAAGCCCATCATCCCGCAGCAGAACGACTCGGACGTGACGCGACCGTTCAATGCCTACTCACCCAGTGGTGAGCCAGAGGTACAACAACATTGACTAACATTTATATCAACAAGTACTTACAAAGCCAACCCAGGACTGAGATGGTCAATAATTCATTTTTTTGAGAACGACCACAGAGGAGAACTCATTGTCACGGAGTACAGTGGGTACATCGACTACATCCCCTATAGATAGCTTAAAAACAGCACCTTGGCTTAGGTGTGATAGGTCAATCATCAGGGTGCCACCACATGCCTGCAAAGCTGTTGGTTATAACCAGATATGCAGTACAGATATTGAAAGTCACTAAAAGTAATGTAGTCTCACCTTATCATCTTTTAATTCCTTTCAGTGGCAATGAGCTACAGATTACCTCCACAAAGTTATCATTTTTATGTCCCATTTCAGGGTGACCTGGTGTATGGTAACTATGGAACAGTAAAAGACTTTGAGTACCTACAGAAGAACAACATCAACTGCAGTGGCAAAATCATCATCGTGAGATATGGGCGGATCTTCCGAGGCAGCAAGGTTGGAGCTTACTTGAGTCTGCTGACAGACATTAGCTTTGATATGTCATACTAACTTTACTTCAGACTTCAACTTTTCACTTCTTATAACTAAAACAATATGCTGACTTGGATCACGTCTTAACATTGTGCTTCTTCATTTTTTACTTTTTCACTAGAAATCATGAATGATAAAAGTGAAAAGTGACATGCCATTTTTGCTATCATGAAAGTTCATCTGTTGTTGGTAGTTACATGTTTAAAGTTAAAACTTTTGTTCCAACCCCCCCAAAAATTCTCTCACCTAGAGCTTTCGACCAGTCACTCTGGTCTTCCTTAGTAGTCTGACCCAGTGAAGCTTGTCACGTGGCTTCTTTGAAGTGTATTAAACCAACCACTACTTTAAGACACATTCTTGTTGCGCCCAAGGACAAAACCCCCAAAGAGAAGAAGTGTGGTGTCATTTACCACATCCCCTGCAGCTTGTTGTTTTTGCCGTGGCAGGCTACAACAAGGGCCCTGCCAGGAAACGTACATTGGGGAAACAGAGAAGTCTCTAAAAGCCAGGTTTCAAGAACATACACGGCCTAGCTCTGCCAGTTCAGAGGTGTCTCAACGCATCCACATAGAGTCACCCGGACATTTTGTTTCACTTGACACTGTAAGGATTTTAGACACTGAACAAGACTATTTCTTGAGAGGGGTGAAGGAAGCCATATACATCAGGGCCCATCACCCTACATTGAAAAGCGATGGGGGTCGACATCGTCTGCCAGATACCTTTGACCCAGTGTTGACGTCACACTTCAAAGAAGCCATGTGACAAGCTTCACTGGGTCAGTCTACTGAGGAAGACCAGAGTGACTGGTGGAAAGCTCCAGGTGAGAGAATTTTTTGTGTTGGAACAAAAGTTTTAACTTTAAACATGCCATTTTTGCCTTTATTTTTGCGTGCTATCTGCAGGTGGAGAATGCCGAGGCAGCCGGAGCAATAGGAGTCATCATCTACTCTGACCCACAGGACGTTGACCCTAACAACCTTCCTGCGTACCCCAAAGGTTTGTGGATGCCTGAGACTGGGTTACAACGTGGGACACTCTTCACTGGGCAGGGCGACGCACTCACACCTGGCTTCCCTTCTACAGGTGAGGGGGAGATCTGATACTATGGTGGTTAACGTCATGGACTTGATAACATACGTCATGGACTTGATAACATACCTCAGTTTCCCACTTGGCTACAACACATCAAGACTACACGTCAAGATTTCTTACTATTTCTGCTTTATTGTTACTAGGTCACAAATATTTTGGATGTTTCAATTACCAACATGTACTACATGTACCAGCAACTACATTTGTAGCAGGTGATCTGTATTTATAATGTAGACCACTAGGGGGCATACTTGTATATTGAATAACTTGTGTTCTACTGATGAATGATTGTACACCTGCCTACATGTATATCTATGTCTATTAATGTACAAACCCCTATTAATGTCTTCCATATATGTACAAGTTTATGATAAGAAGGAAGTGGTTGAAATAGCTAAATAAAATAGATGACTCACACATGCTACTTGCAAGTAGTGATATCCCTTAGTACATCTCTAAAATCCGAGAGACAGAGTTTTCTGTTCCCACCCACAGATACTGCATACAGACTGCAGCAGAAAGATGCCAAACTGCCACGTATCCCCACCACCCCCATCAGCTGGGGCGATGCTGTAAAATACCTCAGGTCGGCCAAGACTCTCCTTCATAATGATATAATGTAAATCTTGAAACTTTTCGTGGTAACCTCTCCGGTCTTCACTGTAAGTAGATTTTGGACAGGATATGCAGCCTTTCTTCCTGTATATGTGGGAGCCTCAGGCAATATTGCATTACCAATAGAAAAAGCATCCTCAATTGAGAATAACTGCTTTACATTATCAGTCCCTTAAATACATATACTTGCCATGCAGTTTCAGTCTGGTACCATTTAACAGTTTCATTTGTTGAATGGTACAAAATACTATGTGTTATGTAGTATCATCTTAGATTTGATTTTGAATGCTTGTGTGCGTATGTGTAGAAACCTTGGTGGAGCAGAGGCTCCAGAGGACTGGGTAGGAGGCCTGAACATCACCTACAGACTTGGGCCTGGCTTTACTGGGGAATATGGCAATGGGTAGGTTAAAACATGCTTTTATAGTGCTACCGGTGACATATGTATTTTGGTGTTTCAATTTGATAATCACACAACTTTTGAAAACTATTTAAGTTTGACTCACATACATGTAACATTTAATGTTTGGAGGCAGGTTTTTATATGTCAGTATGACAGACAACATCAAAACAAGCAACTCCTCTTGTTCCCTCCAGGAAGATGAAGATGCACGTGCACAATG